ATCAGGCTATATGATTTTTTAGGTTCTATCATAGATTGAAGGAGTAGGCATGTCTACTTCTTTAATCTATGGTTCTATAACTTGTAAGTTTCAGGCTTTCTAATTAAGTCTATTTCATCAGAATTTTAAACGTTAAAGATTGAATTTTTTGCAAGGTAAAGTGGTATTTTAGCTGAAACAAACTAAATGGTTTGGCCACTGTATTATGTCGAGGGACCAAATATGGAGTCCCAATAATAACAACTCATTATTAGGTTGCTGTACCATGTAATATTGTGTTATATTAGCCTTTGATCATTTCCAATTTCTGCTCTGCCATGCATGCATTTTAGTAACATCTATGGTAACACGAGTTGGTAAAATTAATTTATGAGGAAAATAGTATCACACGTGTAGATATTGAGTTATTTAAGTAGTTTACTAGTTTGTTTAAACAAATTCGAATATTAAGTTTATTCATTCTACCTGGACTAAATTGTGCGTCCATTTGTGTTTTATTTTTATCCCTATACAGTTTATCGTTGAACATGTTTAAAACTGTAGATTATATATAATAACAAGTTTCTATTATCAAGTATCTATTAATAGGCATCTATATAATAGGCAACTATTTATTAATAGGCAAGCATGTTTCTTTAAATATTTTTCTCAGCTCGTGTGCATCGCAGGGAAAATCTGCGCTTACTGTTAGAAATATTTTTTCCTGTAGATGTGCGGAATACCTTTATCAATTAAAATAGGCTTAAATAATATCTTGTCTTCCCACCAGTTTGGGTTTATAAAGGGAAAATCGACCCTCGACGCAGTCAATCATGTTGTATCATTCTTGTCAGGAGCCCTAGATTCTGGAGACGCTGCACTGGGAATAAATTTTGACCTGTCTAAAGCATTTGATATGGTTGATCACCCTACTCTTCTGGAAAAGCTTTACCGTCTTGGAGTACGGGGCTTAGCTCACGAATGGGTGTCATCCTTTCTTCAAGGAAGAACTCAATCAGTCCGGATACCCTTTGTTGACTCCCAAGGAATTCGTAATCATGCTACCTCTGCTTCGTCTGTTGTTATTCGGGGTGTTCCCCAGGGTTCTATCATCGGCCCAATCCTGTTTTTGCTCTTCATTAATGACCTGCCTTCTTTTGTATCAAATAATCCAAGTTCAAATGTAGATGTTTGTTTATATGCCGACGACACCTCACTTTGCGTCTCAGCTAAAGACGTGGCTCATCTAGAGACAACAGCATTTGAGAGTTCCAATAGAGAGCTTTGCAATGGTTCCAAAACAACAAACTTCTTCTAAACTGCAAGAAAACAAAAATGCTCCAATACCATATTAACAGCTCAAAAAAGCAAGTCCCACTGACTGTTTTGATAGGTGACGAAGAGATCTCTTCTTGTAACAATGCTAAGTTTCTTGGTTTGGTTTTAGACAGACAGCTCAACTTTCATGACCATATAGAGCTCATATCCAGAAGAATTAGCACAGGAATTTTTGTGATCAGAGGTCTTTCGAGGTTTACCGATTCTCGTGTAACCTTGAGTGCCTATTATGGACTGATTTACCCATTATTGTCGTATTTGGTGGCAGTTTGGGGCTGTGAGAGCGTACGAACAAAGTTTGTCTTCCGTCTTCAGAAAAAAGCCCTAAGAGCAGCCTTCAGAATATCCCGTCGTACTTCTTGCAAGCCTCTCTTCAAGGAATACAATATCCTCACATTTCCATCCATATACATACTCAGTTGTCTATCGTTTTTAAAAAGAAATTATCATCTGTATCAACCACAGTTCCATTCAATGCAGTACACTCTCAGACAAAAAAACAATATTAAGCTACCTAAGCACAGGACAAGTTTCTTTGAGAGACACCTATTTTATAATAGTATCAGGTTTTTCAATGTGTTGCCTGAACCCCTGAAAGTGGAGCAAGACAAAGACAAATTTGGGAGAGCGGTCAAACGCATACTCTTAGAACAAGCTCCCTACACTGTGAAAGATTTTTTAAGTTGCCGATCGAATTAAGATACTGTTCAGTTGCGTTTTAGTTCTAACAGCATTTATAATTTAGTTTTATAATTTAGTTTATTAAGATTCTTGTGACGCTATTATACAGTTTTTTTCTGTGCAAAAATAAAGATGATTTGATTTGATTTGATTTGACTTAAAAATAAACACAAAAAGTGAATTTTAAATATGAAAAATGGGGCCTATGGGTTGTCATGCTGGGGACGAAATGTAAACAGAAAATTAAAACAAATGAAAGAAATTCAAATCACGTGTTTTATTTACAGCGTAGGATGAAAATAGAAAAGTCTGTACATTAAATATTTTTGGTCGCGTTTTTTACCATTGGACGACCTAGTACATATTAATAGATGTGAATACTAGGTTTCACATTACATACCAGGCAGGTCACTCTCAATCGCATAGAAATATACATTGCAAATGTGTGTTTTGTTTGTTTTAACAAATAAATATGATTTCAGATTCTATTTAAAAATACTTAGTTTGTTTTACTTTTACTGTTATATTTGTTTATTTTACAAAAACATTAGTAGGCTAAACTACTGAAAAATTCTGATTATTAAAGTTATACTGTGTTTATTTATATTTTCCCAAAATTTTGATATTGTATAAAAAGAGTAAAATAGCTAAATTATTATTTTTTATGTGAAACAACATCACTTCTTTGAAAAACAACGATAACGCCTTAATAATTTCGGGGGACAATAATAAAAATAAGATACAAGCAGTATACAATGGCTGTAAACAAGAGAAATGGAGACACTTTATATGCATTTTAAATTGTAATAGATTCTAAGATAAACGTGAAAATGTTGTTCACGTATTTTTAATAAAGGCTGTCAAGGGGGCTGAACAGTAACCCCCTACCCCCTATTTTTTACCATTTGAGATATTTGAAATCGGTTTGCGGCAACCTTCTTAAATATGAGGGGCTACAATAATGATGAGTAGTTTTGAAAATTGTTGCCTTAGGGGTAGTAGGGGTGCAGGGTAGCTCAAAACTTCGAAATCGGAAGTATATTCGACTTTGGTATCATTTTTCAGGTATTGACGAAAAAACAATTGACACAAAGAAAATAGAAATTGGACCATTAATAACAAAAGGGAAGCTAAAAATATTAAAGACGCAGGTTATTAAAAGTATTTTTTAACTATAATTTTGTTGTTATTGGTCCGATTTCTTTATGTCAATTGCTTAGTTTTGTCAAGACCTTTAAAATGATATGAAAGTCGACTATACTTCCTATTTAAACATTCTGAGCTACCCCTTACACCCAAGGAAAAAATTTTCAAAATTAACCATCATTATTGTAGCCCCTCATATCTAAGAAGGCTACCGCAAACTGATTTCAAATATCTCAAATTGTTAACAAGATAAGTGGTGGGTGCAAGTTACTTTTTAGCCACCCTCACGGTTAATTGGATTTGAATCGTTTTAGGGCGCCACTTGGTTATTAGTGATCTGATTTTGGTTTTCTTTTTTGTTTCGTCAAGACCTGTAAATTAATGCCAAAGTCCACTAAAGTATACTTCCAATTTGAAAATGTTTAGCTACCCCCACCCCTAAGGCTTAAGTTTTCAAAATTACTCATCATTTAAGTAGCCCCTCATATCTTAGAAGGTTGCCACAAACTGATTTCAAATATCTTAAAATGGTTAAAAAGTTAAAGGGGGTGCAAGTTACTTTCATAAACTATAGTACAATAATAAGTTACTTTTATATACTATAATAAAATAATGCATTACAAACTGCATTATGACTTGCTCCTTGCCGAGGTGATAACACTTAGGACATCATAAAAACAATAAATATCAACAATGCAAAATATTAAAATACCCCCCAATTATAATTAAGTAGATTAATTTAAAGGTTTGTAATGCCCAACCAATTTGCAAGACATTAGTTTTTTTTCTGGCCACGCTGAAATTAAAGTAGTGTTTTATATGCAAAAATCTGACAATTAGTTAAAACAATGTATTTTTGTATCCAAACCATTGTGATTGGGAACAGAAGAATACTGCACACAACGAACAAGGGAATGTGCTCTTCACGTAATTAAATCGATCATCTCATTAGGACCTCTTACGTAATCATTTCATACCACCGTTATTCAATACCGTTGAAGTAATTGTTCAAAGAGTAACGTATATGTGATTTTTTTATGGAATAAATTAATCTAGGAGAAGAAATTTCTGATTATATCCAGAATCTTAATAATATGGTTATCATTCTAGTTATGTATTATTGTTTGAATTAAGGTTAAAGTTTTCATTGTAATTATAAACTTTTCATCAATAAGATAAATTGTTTTAAATAGTTTTTTTCCATTTTTTGTGCTGATTTTTTATTTATACTTTTCATTTGTGTTGAGTTTTTTCCATTTAAATATATTCAGGCTCAATTAATTCTTTTTAAATTTATTTGTATTTCGTAGATAAATTTCTTTCGTTTGGTTAGATATTCCTAACAGTTTGCGGGTTTTATTTTTATTAATTTTTTATGTGGGGGTGTATTATTTGTATATTATGTTATTATTTCTACATGTTTGTAGGTATATGGATACATTTTCAATTAATTTCAAAATTTAAACTGTCAACTTACTTTTTACATCTATTGATTTTCAGTTTTTTATGTGTTTTTTTTTATTTAAAAAGACTCTTTTAAATACTGCAGTCTTAATTTATTTATAAATTTGCCAATTCAATAAATTTCAATGCTATTCATACGGTGTTATCAAGCTACCATATAACTACTATTTTCTAAGTCCCACTACTCACCATACTACCTTACACATTTTCTGATCAACGCCTCCAAAGGGTTCCTTTTTTTCAACCACCCCAAGGCGCGAAGCAGCCTGGATCCTGAGGAGGAAGCAGAGACATCGGACTTCCGTCCAGGCGACCTTGGCTGAGCGCGGCGTTTTGACGGCCGGCGTCCCCTCCACGGGTATATAACGATACTATCAGCAGCCGGACCTCAGTGAGTGCTTCAGCTCGTTACCACAGTTCTCCTCAACCACCTCAACCACCACAACCACCTCAACCACCACCATGGCCTACAACCGTGCTCTTCTCGTGAGTGTTTCAGTGATTACAATACAGTGGAGTAACAGTGTTCAGTGTGTAAAATGTTTTAATGTGATGCAAATTAATGATTTTATTAATTTAAAATTGAATCAATGATTTGAAATAACGACGATTGGTGTTCTTGGACTAATTTAAATTCGTGTACAACGATATCAAAGTAGATTTTTCTAAATAATTCTTGAATTCAAAATTCATACGCTTTAAAATGAACAATGAAAATAATATTATTTTTATACTTATAATATAAACATATTTTTACTGTATAGCACGATTGTAGGAAAATCGTAACATGTAATAAACAGTATTAAATAATATTAAAAAAATAATAATATCGAAATTGCATACAAAATTACCTTAAGAAAAATTGTACAAAACTAATTTTAAACCCTTAACGTCTTAAATTAAAATTATAAAATAACTGAATAAACAACAATCAGGTAAAGTATACATAAATTGACCTTAATTAATTCTTGATTTTAATTTCTTTATTGGTTTTACTATACATCATAAAAAAATATTGTAAATATTATTCAACGCGTTAGATACAATTTGATTACAAAATTAAGTAATTAGCCATTAAAGGAAATACTGCAATTTGTATATAATTTACTTGAACTTTTAAAATCGATTCACACGGATAAATTATTTATTTACATTTATTGTAGCCACCACGATACTTCCCCCTTCAAATAGATTTAGAGTATTCTAAATCCTTCAATATTAGAAAATTAATTAATACTTGATTTAGAATTGATTCGAAAATTACTTGTATCAATTGATTAAAACTTTTTTATTGTTAAGGCATATACATTATTGATAACAAATCTTAAAAATTAATAATGGAACATAAACAGAAAGCTGTGGTTAGGTATGTATAGACTGTACTAAAACATGTGGGTATAATTTAGCACACGCTGTAAATAATTTAATTAGCCTCCTTGCAAATTTAATACAGTATGAAATTATATTTTATTTTTAAAGTATGGTATTTTAATTGATTTTAAAAATACCTAATTTATATATAATTTATTCTATCCTTTTTAAAATCAAAACAATGCCAATTTAGGTTCTTAAAATATCATTTTTGTCTTAAATAATTTCTAAACATAATTAGGTTTTTGAATAAATATAAAATAATCATTTGATTTAAATATTTATATCACAGTTCGGAATATTATATCCTTGTAGAACAATATAAAATAATGAGTAACAAATTTGCTGCATATCATTTATATGCTATGAAATGCAATTAAAGTGTTATAGATGTATTAAATATAAATGTATAAAAAACCCAATTTCATAAATTAAAATTTAACTTAGGTGGGATAGAAAAATAATAACAGTAGTCAACTAAAAAAAATGTAACGATAGAAATTAACTTAATTTAAAAATAAATTATGGTTAAGTTTGCTATCAGCACTCGTTATAATGAAATTTTATATTCATTACGTGTTAATTATGATAAGTTAATTTATTTCTGCCATCATTATACTTAAAATATTTTATAGCTGTAGTTCACTGAGGGTTCTATCTATATGTAGTATTGTTTAAAAGAGTACTAAATATTTATTTTCAATTTTATTAGATTTTCGTATGTAAAGGTAATTTCTCATATATGGATACATTTTCATACAACACTTTCTCTTTGATATATAAGGCTTGCAGGGGGGAATTAGTTAGTGGCAATATGGTACGGAATGGCCTGGTTTCGCAGTATAGAGTCCGCGAACCGTGGAAGAATGACACGCTACCAGAACACCCTCTACATGTGTGTGACTTGTATACACACACACACACTAGTATCAATACACTGTCATCACCTATACACGCACCAACACACATGAGGGCTATATTGCATGATTCTTATACATTAGAAACCATTTTAAATGCAATATATATGATGTTACGTTAACGAATATTTATTTGTCCACATTACCAGTTATTTTTTATATAACTATCTAGTCAGAATGGATCAATTTCTTATATTTATTTACTTAAAGTTGTAATCCATACTCTGGTTTTGGTAGTTGTATTTAGAATTGTTTAGAATCATCGTCATAAGGTTATTGTTGAATATTAACCTTGCACTTATCTGAAGAAAATTTTAATTATAAATAATAAATTTGGTGTTTACAAATTATTATTCACCATTCTCTATGTTTTGCACAATTTATAATTATCCTTACAATAATTGCCAAATTACAGTCAAAACAAGTGTTAAATGTCTAATATTGTTTCTTATTTATTCTAACACTAAACTTTGCAGTACTTCGATTATAGTTGTCTTTGAATATTTCTGAAATCAATTAACCTAACCTAAAATAATTTATTACTTTTTGCTTTTAGTAACATATGATTATGTTGAAAAAAACTAAGCAAAGCAATTTTTAAATGATATGTAGATAGATAAAACGTGTAAACTTTAACTTGCTTCGCTTGCTGCTGCTGATCCCTGTTCAGATTATCAAGATAAGATTATTCACGACTGTTACGACACTTTCGATAGATCCCGAGATTTCTAACATTAATAGCGAACTTGCGTAAAACCACTGAAGCACATTATGATCATATTAACACCAAGGTTGACAAAAGTATTCCAATCGCTTTTGCTGATTTTGAAAGCTATCAGACTTTTATTAGTTTCATTGTAGTGTAACAACCATTAACGTACGAGTTAATTTGGATTTTTCGAACTAATTTAATTATATGTTTTTTTTTTAGTTGGCCAAGTATCGTGGTTAGATACATAAAAGGCCGTGTACATTTTTTTTAACTACTCTTTGATTGCGCGACAACAAAAAAATTAGTTAAAAATAGTGATCAAAAGATTCAATACCTATTTGTTATGCTTTAGGCGAGTCGGATATATATTAACAATGTTGTACTTTTAAACGGATATATATATTTACTTTTCAATTTTAATCGACTTTATTTATTGTGCTACTTTTACACAACAATTGAACACATCAAAATTTTCTGTTGTTTACTAATACTCTGTTGTTCAATAAATAAACAAAATTTGCATACCTAAACTAAATACACTTATCCCGAAAAAATTTCAGTATGTCAAGTGCCTTATGGTTAATTAAGTCGTTACATGGGTCAATTTGAGATAATTATTTACAAATAACTGTTATTTAATACTCAAAACAAACAATACACAATTACACACTTCATATAGTATATTGTTCGGTGACGACGATATCCTGCAGGCCGTGGCTGTGGCATTGTCGCGATGCAGACTCACGTGCCGGTACCGCGTCAAGGTCACTCGTAGGGCGTGCCACCCTCCCTATCCTGGACCGGACCCCGGACTACAGACGGAAGCTGGGCAACGGCATCGGCCTTGCCTGACAATTCATTGACCTTGCTACACATTCTACTGTATCTCTCCAGGCATTTCTCTATCTCCTCTCTCTATTGGTTACTTTACACCCCGTGTGCTTGTTTATTGCCACTGGTAATTGTTAGGTGTAGTGTTTTATAGTATCATTAGAGGGATTGGCGTTTAAAGATCGGGTAATTGTAGTTTACCGTTGAAGGTCCAAGGATTACTAAACCGCTAATATAACCACATAAAACGGCAAAACGCGTATTTTGCAGGAATTAATTTTTTTTTATTTATTCGCATACTTATTGTTGACTCTTTGTTGAGTGTAGCGGTAACAATGAAAGGTATTGTCTTTCCGTTCCGGAACAAAAACGTGAACTTGGAGCGGTTCCGGCCCAGTGGGGCGAGTCGTTGAGACAAACCGATCAGGGCTCAAGGTTGCGGGTTCGATTCCCTCGGTGGTTAAATGGCGGCGTGGATAATAGCGTCTGCACGGCTTTTAAACAATGTTAATTCTGTCTAATCAATACCTAAACTGTATGATCGATTAACATGTTAACTTTAGTCGGGGATTTAAAAGAATTTTTTTCTCAAAAGACCTATTATTTCATTGTACTTGTTATGATTTTTTTTATACCGAGTACTACCTGAATGTGTCTGAAAAAAAGGAAAATTTCTCATTCAATACTAGTACGGGTTATTTTTAATATTATTAGACTTTAATACAGAAAAATGCAGGTAGGTGTAAATTCTTAAAATTTAAATTAATTAATTCCTTATATATTTCCGCTTAAATTTGGGTGTAACATTCATTTTTCAACAAGTATAATACGACTGTGTTGTTATTGCAAGGCAAGTTATTTCAAGAATTTTAACACATTACTCTTTACGAAATAGAAAGTTCCCGATTACAGAAAGAACAGTTTGCTTGTGTTAAGGTCTGATAATGATATAGTTTAAATGAAAATCGTGATTCGATATAATGAAGTCCGCAATCGTTGCCGCAAGCCGTGAAACGTTGCATTAATGAAAATTCGTGAGTCGCAATTTTAATTACTCGTATTCTATGAGGCTCATAAATAAAGAGCTCATAGAATTGATAGCCTCCTTAAGTAGATAGCTCTCTTTACGTACGTAAGAAAACGTAGACGGTATTTACTGATGCATGAAATGCGCGTGTGAAGTAATTGTGCCGACGTAGTATAATTTAAAACATTTCCAAAGAGTTGTAAAATCAATTTCCGTACAAGCATTATTGTTACTGTGCGTTATTACCGTGGTTCTGAACGCTCTCAATTTCGGCACAACACAATATGACGAAACACGCATTGCTCTGATAATTCGCTTCCTGGACAATGTTCATCTCGTCATCTCGTCATATGCAACATACTGCGATATTGTTCCATCAAGCAAAAAGGACAGCATTACTTTATTGTAATAAATATATTTTCGGGAATGATTTAACTATTTTTCATGTTTCAATTGAAATAAATTGTAACCGATACTTCTGCAATTTATTAAGTTGTTTGGCTGATGACATCAAAGGTGATACAATTTTCTTAATGAGTGCAATACCGAATTACTAAAAGTCAATTGTATTTATTTTTAGTGCTAAACCGGTATCATTTACAATTATATAACACCATTCATGATTGCAGGATCGCTAATTTGTCTATGCATCCACTTGTCCAAATTGTCAAAAACATATAGTAAAACTGTTTAGTCATAAGTAGACTTTTTCTGAATTGCTTTTTGTAAGGTAGCTGATTGTCCTCTATATTAATAATGTGGATGTCCTAAATTTTAACTTTGCCTTAGTAGCTATTTATCTATATCCATACTAGTTACCTATCTAAATTAATGAATAACTATTATATCATATATCTAGACATAGTATATCTAATTAAGATTTCTATAATATTTTATCAATAACACATTTTTCAGACGATCAATAAACACTTATGACATGACCTAAACAAAGTATGTTCTGTTGCAGATCGCCCTATACATGTGCGCGCTGTTCAGCATAGCGCTCAGTCAGTACTTTGACTTCTTCGGCGGCCCTCACTCTACCGGACTGGTCGGTGGTGCCAGGGATTCCAGAGGCAACAGGGGTGAGATAATTAGAGAACTTTACGCAGTAGTTATAGATAAACGTTCTAAAATATTATTAGACTCAAAATAATAATTTAACAAAGTTCCACCATCGATAACAATGTTGAACTTTTAAGGATTTCAGCCTTCATATGAAAGTTGATCAAAACATGATAATGTATAATATTACGCATTTATTTGCAACTTAAATAATTCAATTTACTTTCCATACAAAATTCAATCCGAAGTACAATTTCAAAACATAGTTCAAAGTGAAGCCCTCTCTTCTAGAGGATGTGTGTATTTATTTATCCACGGGGCCGTCGGTCGTTGGCCATGTAGGAGAGTGCGGCAATGATCTTGAACGCTACCAAGGCGAGTGGGGCGAGTGCCTGCCCTCGTCCTCAGGAATCTCACTTTCGGCTCAACAGGTTTACTTTGGGAAGCTATGCATATGCTTACACTCATAGTACCTTAATCTCGTTCAATTTGTTGTTCACGCCATCATTGGCTGTAGAGCATATCTTGGTTAGATAACCTCTTAAAGGATGCAGAAATTCGTGTCCGAGAGAGATTTAATAGAGACAGGTAGTTTTTTATTGGGTTGAATACCCACTTCATGAGTTAACTAACCCCCCAACAATGTAATATGTTATCGCTGTCTTTTAAATAATAAGGTAGACAGACATACCCTCTACATGGACCAGAAGAAGCAGAGTTTTTTTGTCAAATAGAACATGATGCTTGACCCACTCCTGTGCTACTATTAAAGTTATATTAATGGCAAACCTTTTAAGGTATATGACATAAAATATACTACAGTTTACGGTTGAGTATCTAACCTACATTTACGCTTTCAGCATGGTTAGATCAATTCTATTTGTCTATGGTTAGATTTCAAAGTTGGCATTTTCAATGTTAAATCGTGATTGACTTTTGCGCACTCTGGATCAATTTTCATCTGCATTTTCATTCTAAACATAATATGTTTTTATGGGAATGAGTTGTATACTTCTTTGAACAGCCAAGGCTGCTATCTCATATTTAAAAGAAGTTTGCAATTATATCTCAATATCTCAACCCAGAGTTTCTTTTGATATCTATCTCTTTGGGTTGGCTAAAAGTAAAAGAAAGAAGAGAGTAAAGAGTTTTGGGTTAAGAATTTAAAGTAATTGAATACTCTAAACCTGCATAAAATCATAACGTTCATCAAAGAACAACACTAGATTTGGACAGGAAATCTAACAATTTTCTATTCATAGGACTCAAACATACTTAACTTCTTTTGCTGTGACGCCAATAAGACTGCTGAATGAACTAGATAACAGTATACACATTTTGGAATCAGAAAATAGTTTTCTAAAGAAAGTAAAAGCGTTATTGTTGAATCGATAACAATAATTAGATAGTATAACACAATCGGTGAAGTATTAAATAAACTACAACGATATTTTGTAAAGTGTTGTATTATTTAGAAAGTAACTGTTGTATAACAGAAACCCTTTTATAGAAATATAATATGGTAAAATAGGTTCTCTTTATGTTTTACCCATAGTTGTGAAACATTGTAAACTTGTAGAGTGGAAAAGTGGATGTTTGGTCTGAGTCACGATAAATCATTATCAAATTAGTGTATTGGAAGTGTAGTGTCAAAGGCTACGTGGCATTGTCTGACTAATGCTTTTGTCGCAGGCCCAGTGGTGTTCCCTCCCTCCGCTCCCGGCACAGAGACCAGTGGAGTCCGAGTAGGAGCCTCAGGCTACGGGTTCGTGCCCGCACCGCCACGAGGAGGTGAGTGAGCCTTTGATCTGCCGGGCAATATCCGCCTCTAACACACAGTCTCTGTCAATGCTGTAGTTTGCTAAGCGACTGACACTGTTGTAATTTGTCAAGCACAACTCTTAACTCCTTGAAAGATAACAGAGGATTATTTGTTCCTCCGAGCATTTGACGTGCTTTTATCTTAAAATTTATGTAACTATATTTTATTCAATTTAAAATTGTTGATCATTTTTCATTACGAGATTTTGAGTCAATACATACATATTTTTAAGAGTATTTCATGGCATAATCGTGAGAATATGACTTTAAGATTATTTTCTTTAAATTCAGTGCTGGAACTACTCTAATATGTTTTAGACCCATGCAAACGTAACAACGCCTGTAAAAGTCTTGGAACTCTTTGAACTTTGATGGTTTAAACAATTCATTTTTGTTATAGAAATGTATGTCAATTTGTTATATACATGTAAATATTTGTAAACGAATATTTCATGAATCTCAAAAATATTCTCACGAGATATCGGATACGAAAAATTGAAACAGACGGTAAATGTCTCTCTTTCTGATTTGATTCCTTAAAATTTGTTTAGGAATAAATTCATATTTTATTAAATCAATCGTGATAAAACTAAAAAAATAATTTGTTTTGAATTCAATTCTAAAACTACTCTAATATTTTTTGCTCAATTCAAACATACAACGACGTCTGTAACAGTCTTTGTATACACTCTTACTCTTACGTTCGATATTTTTGATTTTCCTTTTTTGTCTTAGAGTATTAGATGTTCTACTGATAGATTTGTTGAAGTATATATTTTGCCCAAAAACTAAAGAATTAAAACCATAAAAGAGAGACCCTTGTCGTCTGTTTCAATTTTTAATATCTGATATCTCGTAAGAAAATGCTTGAGATTACACAAAGGAACATTATGGCAATGAAAGAGTTTGGAGTTCTCCCATAACAAGTATTAGCATAACGATAAGTTAACTACCTCGCCACCTTTGACAGCTACTATCAAAAGGCTATTGACAACTATATTCATAACGCGGTTTACGACCTGTAGTCTACAGTGTGTCGTGTCCGAGGTATCATTAACCTTTGCAGACCGGTCGACCTCCGCTCGCGTCAAGGCCAATATCTAGATCCGGAAACAACAATGTATCGGAAGTTATATCAAAACTATCGCTTTGCATTTCCGTCAGAGTCGGACCTAGTGAGATTTGTGAGGTCGTTTTATACTTGTTGTGATAGTGACTTGATAGTAGTTGGCCAACGTGACGCGTATGCTGGGAGTTGCGCCTAGGAGGAGATTATGTGGTGATATATACGAGAACGTTAGAACTTGCGTTAGATCACTTTGGATTTCACCATACATTCTTTTAGTGAGTCTTGTTGTATTAGGAAGAGTCAGATATAACGATCATGTGAGTTTGAACAATTCAAATAATCAATGAAATTACAAAGTACCAAGATCCGATGTTTCGAAATGATTCTCTAAATAAAACGCGTCCAAAACGTAAAATAACAGTGGGCCTACTGAGTAACAATATTCATGCAGAAATCCAAGCTTTAAAAATAATTATAATATGTTTTTAGTATTTTCCATCAAGAGTTTCATATGGTCAATTTTCATTTCGCAAAACAGTGTCGCAATTACTAATTATTATGGTATGTTACAGTATCGATGCTTCATTATGCACAGTCTGAGTCAATATGAGCGTGGTGTCAATTACTATTGAAATTAACCATAATTACCCACAGGATTCCTGATTCCCTGATAAAGTTTGTACAGTAATCTTTTACTATTGCGGTAATATATTATTCATTTTGGACAAATGTATTTTAAATAAAACAGGTATGGCCAAGCCATGCAGCAAAACTCTAAAAGGGTTTTATTCGAAAATAAATACATCTTTGCATCCTAGTATTTTGACATATTTGTTTAAATTTGCAACCTATTAGAAACTCTATGAAGTAACTGTATTAAGAAAACCACAAAACATTTGCATTGCCACTAAAACTTAACTGAATCATGCCATTCACCTCTGAAAAGAAATTAAAGAAACATGACATCCACAGGCCAACAAAATGCTATTCTGCACTGTTTTAGTAGTGTGCATTGATTACAGTATTGTTTATAAAGTTTGAATGAAAGATTTCAATTCTTTCCAAAGTGTACATCGTTTACATGACTGTTATGCTACGTATGACATAAGTGGTGCGCGGTGATTGGTCACAGCTAGTGCTCATGCGCCGTGCTTGCCCAACGCGCCCCTGGCGGCCGCTTGAGTAACCATTACACACATCCGATACCATCGCATAATTACAACCCCCGCGATAATTAGTGATCGACTGCCAACGCCACTTCCGTCCCTCTCCCCTCCAGTCAGGCCAGACTGCAAATTCAAAATTACTTTCTAAGAAATTGTTTTTACTTTTATCCATATTGGAATCTTGTCTCTCTCACTTGAGATGGAATATTCATTCAAAGGTGCGGTTTTTTACTCTTTATTTTGGACAGTCTCATTTACTATTTACCAGATTGTTAAATATTTCAAGTTGGATTTTAAAAACTATTAGAACTATACATGACGTTGTTTAATCCTTTATTTATATATAAAAACCTACAACAGCACAAACGTTTCCAAAATAAAGTGATTTTTTTTTTATTTATATTGATCCAAAATTATTTCAATTTTAAGGCACAGTAAAAATAAAACGCAGCTGGAAAATAATACATTTAAGTCCCACAATGTAAAATGCTGTTAAATATCACTCGGCATTGCAGTGACAGACGGGTTAATCATGTTTAGCCTGGGACAACTGATTTACCCGACAATCAGTCCAGCTGCATACAAGCCACACAGTTCACGGGGTGATAGTCACACGCTATACAATGGTCTGATACAGGTCGGCTTTGTGTGTGACTACAGCTAATGCACATGCAGACAGAGGGGCAGTCACAAGTCCATTTGTTTAACTTCATTAAGAGATCGGCCGCATCCTTTGATCTGGTGTAATACAATGTCCATACATTTGGATTCGGAGTACCTTAGAGGACTGTGTTAGTTCCATCGCTATTTCCATAATGAGCTAGTGAACGTTCTCCTGTGTTGTGCGTTTCAACTTTGGAAACTTGTCGAGGGTAAATTTGTGGGGGTTCAAAATTGTTCCATCTATTTAGTTACGGTTCTCTTTGCCTATCCTATAATGCGATTGTTAATCAACTATTGACTTAACGTTTGATAAGATTTTGGAGTTTTCAAAACACGAAATAAACGTGTCATCTGCTCATGCGTGTTTTACATACATATATTGAAACATTCCTTGTCACTCAACTTTCTAAGATATTACCAACACGTCATACGATGATAACGAAACCGTTGCTTAGAAGTTCTTAGAAGACCCGTAAATTTAAATACCCTTATTCATTGACTCAGCTATAAGAAATTAGGTATTTTACTCTTTCGAAACTGTTTGATTCCGGTAACAGTAATGATAGTGTGACAAATTAAAGATTTTATTGTAATTCGCAACACCATGCAGTCCTTGTTTTGATAATTGTTTAGTTTAAATGGGGAGGAAGGATAATGATAGTACTATTATAAATAATTCATCATTGCCATAGATCACATCTGCGGTCAGTATGTATTATATTGGAAAGTCACGAGCACAACTACCAGTTCGCTTTCTAGCCAGTAACTTTTCGCCGGACACAAAAGGCAGTTAGTCGTCCAGGAGCCATGCGGAAACATATGGAGTGCGGAGTAAGTCGCCTAGGGTCGGGGCGGCGACTTTCCTACAATTGTTGCACATGTAGAGTTTATGGTAAAACACATCTGTAGTACCTAGTGTGGTAGTGTGGTAGTGTACTGCCGTCTGTAGTACCTAGTGTGGTAGTGTGTTAGTGGACTGCCGTCACGGTCCGTGCCCTCACACACTTCAACACTGATCGAATCTATGAGTAACTACCAGCCACAACTACTAGTCGAGCGATATTAGTTATCTATACCTACTTTTTAGTAGCGATGTCGGTAGGGAAAGCGACGATTGTGCAGATAAGTGAACAGATAGACAAACGGTGAAGGCGGACCTTCTAGTATTTTACTACGATCTAGGTGTTCGAGAGAAGGTTTTTGTAAAAGGGAGGCAAAACATGCAAGCCATGTGTTTTCAAGTTCTACAAACTCCGGTTAAAAAAGATTTTTTTACCTCAAACAAAAATTTCTTAACGACATCTCCACGCCGATGCACAATGCACAAGTGAAACAAATCTAAAACTACTTGTGAGCGTAGAACGATTAGTTAAAATGCGTGTATGCATCCTTCTCATTGAGTATCTAAACGGTTAAACCAATACTTTACAGATTAATGTACGTTTAACAGCCCTTGGGCTGGTACTTAAGACCAAGCCTATGTACCCCATTGATGTAATTTATGCAGACGTCACTCCACGCAACCTCGGCCATGTACTCTGTAAGTTACCTCCAGATTGTTATCTTGCGATCTCAGGGGAAGACGTTCTCGTGATTTCCTCCAGCTTTTTTATGAGTTGAAGTTGAGCCACGCCAGATTGCTTAACAGCCAGAGTCCATCTACTGAGGCCGTCTGTCAAGGCGTTTACAATTAGCATTTCCTTTAATTTGTTGAGGTCCCTAGATTCAACCAAGTTGATTGTATTTGTCGACAATATGTAATACGATTTGAATAACCCAAAATCAAGTCTAAAATTAGTGTTTATATGTCTGTGGAATGGAATTGTGATTTATTATAGGACCTGTTGACATTTTCTTTATATCTACCTACTGGATTCGTTTCACTGAATCATTAACACCGATATTCCACCTTTTCGGAAAGGAATATGCAGTAGAACCTCGACATCAAAACTCTCATGGGGGTTTTTAAGACTTGTTATCAATGTTGACTTCTTTTCGAGGTTTGCAGTGACATGGGATTAGGGGTGAAATAGATTCAAGGCGATTTCAAAATGACACTTGTTATCGAGGTTCCATTTTCTTTGCCTATGTCATCTTTTTGTGGAGGAATACTTAATTAGCGTAACTGAAATAAATCAATCCGTTAGCAAATTTAGATTCTTACCCCTTCCGTTAGTAGAATTTCGGGAGTGGCGCTGTGGGAGGAGTCCCCCTTGGTGGTTCATAAACAGCCAAGCTGCGGAATGTATAAGTGCCAAGTGCCAAATGGGCGGAGCTGTGGAGGCGCGAAGTGGACGAAACATTGCAGATTTATTAGCGAACAAACGATAGCGCGTGCGGCCCCGAGGAACGGCACAAACCCTACAATCAGCGGTTCTTATTGTTTGGCTAAACGGCCGCGGTGCGGCGCCCCCCGCGTTATCTCCTGTGTAGATGATCAAACTCGCCTGGAATTCCATGGGAACTCGTGATCAGGAAATGTTTATGGTGTTTTCTCCCACACGATCTGCATTGTGTAATTTGCAAATATACTATATCGCTGCTCAGTCAGTAGAAAAGTCGAGACACTCATTAGAGGTTATGTAACTGGAATCGGAATTATAATGTTTATTTGGATTGGGATGGTAGTAAATTAACTATTATCAACTGTGGGGTTTTATGTAGACCAAGATGGTTGAAATAAAGTTCAAATTTAATAGATTATCAATTCAAAATAGTATGGGAGGAAACGTTGACGTGAGACAGAGACGAGATAATAGAAAATGGTAAAATATGTGCTATATAAAATTTATGTTGATTAATTCACAGCTTGCGTTTTAATTTTGGAGGTTAAAATTTTCAACTCTTAGTACTCTATGAATCACGGGCGTATAGGCCTATTGTCTATAAGGGGGAGCCCAAGGGGGCCGTCCCTTTCACTCCAAAAATAATGAGTATGAAGAAAATGAGTGATGTAATAGTCATATTTCTTATTGTTAATATGTAAAAAGTATATATAAACATGATCTTGGTAAAGTAAAAGAAACATGCAGCACGAACTCCCCTCTGAATTTGAGCACCAAACACCAAACTGAGATAAAATAATAAAATTACTAAACCTAACCCCTTACATTAATTTTTCGTCCTCCCAAAAATATGTTTTTACCACATTTAGACCATAATCGGCACTATTATGAACATAATAAATTAATTATAGGTTATCTCAACAAATTTGGGTGAATCACAATCTCTTATAAAAAATAAGCCTAGTTATTTAAAAACATATCTTCCTCACACTGCACTACACAATGTACACCTAATGCATTACAATAACCAAATACATTCCACACTTCAATGTAAATTTTACTGTATTTAAGCAGTTCAAATTCATATTGCACTCAATCCAATTCAAAGTCACTTGCAATATCTAGGGATGAAATATTCATTGAGTTCCCCGTTGCTTCGTTTACATAAACGACCACAATGTGGCGCCATCTATGGTAATCTCACACAATAAGTTTCATCGGTTCATCTGCAAGTTCGGTGGTGCGCGCTCTCTCGCACGGAAGATTTCATTCTGCTGCTACAACTTACATTGCATATGGTGTGTCGGTAAAGATGTTCATACACATACAAATAATCAAACATTTGCCTTTGAAGTCTGAACTTTTATCTCAATTGTTTTAACGAAAGGGTTGTAAATGAAATCAAATTTTATGGAGCTAAAAATAATATAAAACCTATTTAGATTTCGGTTGGATAAAAACCAATTAATTAAAGACTTCTGAAATGATTACGTTGTTTTCAATTGATTCAAAGGTTTATTGGGCAATCGGTTTTACAAGTAACTGTATTTACATTTTAAAAAGGTTTTGAAAAGAAATTCAAAGTTCGATGCAAATATTTCATCACAATTATACGAATTCTCAGGCTTATCGTTTGGTTTGTATGAATTGACCAAATCCAAGGCCAATTTATAGGTCACGTGACCAGTGAGTAGTGAGCACGCAGCACGCTGCCCTGGGGTCCTCCAGATTGTATCATGTAGCTTTGTGTGACTGGGTGGGCGACGTGTCGTTAACCACACCGAACTTGTACACTCAACTGTCTTTGGATCTAAATCTATTAATAAACTTTCGGTGTATTTTATAATAGTGATAAGAAAATCGTGAAGTAACATAAGTGTTTGATCTGGCCTACTTGTCTTGGTGGAGGTTCTAGGACTTGCTCAAGGTGGACTACCGGGGGGTGTCCCACGTCCCCTAAGAAAGGAAAGGGACTCAGTGGTCCTCCGAAAAATCTGTTAGTTTTCAATGTGTTTGATGACTTTCTAAAGCAACTTTTAACGTCTAGAACCGAGTTAAAACCCCTCCGTTAGGTTTCAGGACGAAATGTACGTTTGAATTTATTTTTCCAAGGTCCAATGGGGGCTCTAGCCCCTGTAGCCCCCCTCTTTGAACCTCTACTGCCTTGTCTACTTGACTATCAGCTTCTGACCCCTATGTTTGTTTCAGGCCATGGACCCTTCGCTGGATTCAACGCATACTAATCCTCTCATCCTCCACTGACATCTGACCCTAGGACAAGATAATGCTCTACCTCCGTCACCTATTTATTCCTTCATTAGCAACAAATTGTTCAGTTTCCACCGGATCTTCGACTCTCTCGAGAGTCGGTCAGTTCAAATCGACTCACCAAACAGTAAGACATCTCGCATACTAGTCATACACCGAGTGCTTACCTTAGGTGGTGTCTGATGTCTGTTAAGTTTTAGCTCAGTTTTTAGTTTGCCGACCCAGCGTCGGTAACATCCCATAAACTTTCCTACTATTGTAGGCGTATTTAAATATTTAATTATTGATGTACATAGATTGTTTTATGTGATGAATGTGTGGCCTAGAGAGGATGAATCTACAATGGTGAAACCAGAATGTTTTTAAACGCAAGTTGTAAGGTTCGAAGTGGAATACCTGTGATAAACATATCAGTAGTGTTTTACTAGTTCTCTTAGGAGTTTAGAAATGAAATATGTTCATCAGAGCTTATTTGTAAATAGCTTTATTGTAATGTTTGTTTCAAGCAACTGAAAATTATTCTCAAATCTTCATATACATTAGTTTAAGCTGTTCATGGTAATTATGATAGAATCAGTATTTTATTTCTCGTTGATCATAGAAGTTGAGTGACTTTTCCAGTCTAAGCTAAGTTGAACGTTTAACTTGGGCTATAGACCGGCTCATGTCATATTGTGTTATGCAAGGGATAGAAAGTTACGTTCCCCATCATTGAACATTGATTATCCCATTCTGTCATATATTAAACTATCTCAATAATAGACCCTTGATGTTGGTAATCAATATTTACCAATTAAATAAATCTCAGTGTTTATATACATCGTCTTTTGATTATAGCTGTACAATACGATTGCTTCTATTTTTCTCTGTTTATATTCTATATTAACTTTTCTACCTCTACACGTCTTACCTGTTACTATCACCAGATAAAATTTTTCAGTTCTTGAAACAAACAAATGTCACTTTGCTAAATAATGTGGTATTCAACTATATACCAACATATTAAAGCTATTTTAAACTATATAATCCTTCTAAAACTTTTCATTAAATTGTATATACAATACTTTGAATCTGTTAATATTATATCCCCTTTTTTATATGCCTACATTCCCGATTATACCTTAATGAAATCGTTACCATGTATCACATACTTTTGGGTATATTTTTCTACTTCGGTTTGTCATCTTTTAGCACCTGCTTTTTGCATTATATTTCTGGTTTCATCAGTCCTTTACAATTGAGAGAGACAATAGCCTTGATAACTTATTTATTTATTCTTGTTGTTTAATACTAGACCTGTACATGAGAATTAGACACTGTTTGAATGGTTATAAAAATGTGAATGTAAATAATGTGAATATCTCTCTAGTAGAGTCCTACTATACAATAAAATTATTGTACAATATGTTTCTGTTTATGATTTATCTTATCCTTAAATTCATTTAAGATTAAGTTTAATAGAATCTAGGGAGATGATAAGTTGTGGTTCATTCATCTCAGATCGATTTGAAAATACCAAAAGCTTAAACAAACAAGTGAACTCAGAAAACTATTTCAATAAATTAGTGTTTTTAAAATTAATTTCAAGTATCATACATTCAATTATACTCTTATTTAATCGTTTAAAAGCGTAATAGACTAGAAATATTTTATTGACACATTATATAAAACGAATCAGTTGATATGGCCAATTGGCTCGTTACTTCCTTGATGTTCGTTAACAGCGTTACATAAAATAACAGATTTTCCAAAATTAATCCTACACCAGCTCAATATTTTGTTTACTGTTGGATAAAACTTTTGAAGTTTAAATTAAACAAATTTTCTAATAGCGAACACAAATTAAGATAATTCATGAATGTTATCAACATCAGATTCAAAAATTATGATATAGGCTAATGATTTATACATTTTACCCACAATACCATAAAAGTAACTTTTATTACCAATAACAAATGTATACGAGGAATCGTTTCCTTGTCTTTCAAAGTTAACAACTAATTATTACTTTCACACAGACCTAGATTAAAGATTTCGAGAATTTCTATATGTCAAAGTTGTAACTCTAGATCAATAATAATTATTCTAACTCTGAACATGATGTCAATTGATTATGGTAATTTAATCCATGAGGAATTCATGCCACTACATAAAACATGAATAGACCTCCCGATATTGGGTATAGATTATTATGGAATATTACTAGCATTTCATTTGAATTTACAATTGTGTACATTTGTCAAATGCGATATACACGTAATCCAGCTATAATTCTGCATTTGTATGTTGATCACATTATAACGACAGCTAAAACCCAAATTTTAAATCTATACTTCTATATTGAATTTTGATAAGTGAGCTTTTGATCCTCCAAAACCAGCCGAGGATAAGTAAATAGAGGGGTGGCATTGGACTATTTATTTGATCATGACCAGTGACCACAAAATTAAAATTTTTAATTAAAACTAAAAAAAATTTTAAATTTTAATTTTGTGGTCACTGGTCATGCCATATGATTTACATAAGACGTTTGTGGCCATCACACATGTTGGAAATATCAAAAGAGTTGTGGCACAGTTTAAATTTCAAGGCAAAAAATCATGGAATTAAGTTATTTATGCAATTTTATAATTCATGCCAATCGAGTGTCCACTGTTCTATGTAAAATCTTTAAATTGTGTAAGAAATTTTTCAAATATATACTTTCTGTGTATGAGTAACTACAGTGTTAATTTTCTCAGGCTGTCTTCAAAAGACTTTAAATATGAAAGTGAATAAAGGTGAATGAATATGAAAATATGAAAGACTTAATAATAGAAATAGAAAGTTGATAAGTGCCAGTAGTTTCAAAAATTTAAAAGACGTTGGTGTTTGCAATTTAACTATCTAAGCAGCAAAATGGAAATACATTCTGAAATATCATTGTTTATTGGGTTTATAACTAGACAAATCAGCTAAATCAATAGCTCGATTCAGTGACACGTTTGTGCACTTCAAACTACACAAGGCAAGTTTAAACCTTATGCTCATACACCTTATGCTACTAATCACCTTATCATAGTACTCATACTAGCTGCTGTACCCGTGCTTCGCCCCTGAGAGATAAAAAAATAGCGCTGCACTCTGTTGCTAAGCCCTGTAACCAACTTATTTGTTTAGTTGAAACAGCTGTCAAGATTATTTGATTCTTTTAAAATACGAATACCATAAGGTAAACATGGGAAACCCCAGAGCCACTGGGGTGGATTTTTTAGATAAGAATATGCCTACGGGGAACATGGTAATGAGGAATATTAGCTATCATCGTGCCAAATTTCATCCTAATCCGACCAGCAGTTAATGCGTGATTAAGCCCCAAACATACAAACCTTCATCTTTATAATATTAGTATGATTTAAGTCAACACTCTTGCAAGTAGCGTCCTCAACTGGAGCAGTGTCAGCTGTGATCACACAGATACAGATGATTCATCTGTATCTGTGTGAGATGAAGTATTAGTACTCTATGTACTTGTCATTTTCCTTTGTAACTCTATGTACTCTGTGGCCCTGACAGTGACTGTGGCCTTAGCCGTGTCCAAGGCTGTTAGTTTCTTCTGTATCCCGTTTCTATGACTCCGCCCCATCACAGTTATGTTATATGTCTCTCTGTGCAGTGGTAAAAGTGGTAGAGAACAACTCAGAGAAATACAAGGACGTGCGTTGTATATAGGTGTTAAACCTAAACTATGAATTTAGCAAGAAGAATCCATGCTTAAATGGTGTATTTCGAGATAAAATTGGGGAATTTTAAGCTCAACCCCATTTGGCAAGCATTTATATTTATTGTACTTTAATAGTTAGGCTGTGTCATTATGTTAGCAGACTATTATTGGTGATTCATTACTGCAATTGTAACTCGGTACTGGTTGGTATACAGTTAAACAATTTTTAGAACAACAATTTTTAAACACTATTACGATTTTAATATAACCCCTTCCGTACATAGACTCTTTTTATTATATTGTAAAATAAAATATTTCCTGAGTCAAAATAAGAAAAGGTCCATTTCATAAATTCATCAAATAGTTTCGATTTCTCTTTATATTGGTTTATAACTTGTGTTTTAAAATTGCATACATTTATATGTATGCTTTGTAAATTTGTGGTTAGATATAATTTACAAACATGGTTATAAATACAGATATCTCCTATTTAAGATTCTTCAAAAAGATGTTCAGCACAATCGCTTTGAAACAATAGATGACTCATTTAAAGTTGATTGATAATTATATCTGTGTGCACACTTGTGTTAAGCCCAAAGATCGGTTAAACCTCAAGAGCACAAATATTGTATGTCCATTGTTGTTATTTATTTATTTTTGTTATGCGTAACTAATTACAACTAGGTTAGATTGACATTACTATCAGATGCAATATTAGATAACAAACCATTTTGAAAATTTGTTTGGAATTAATGGTTTTTCTGTAAAGTTTGAAATCTTCTTTTTGCGTTTTCCGAAAATTTGCAAAAGTGGACAAACAATGATTGTGCTCTTAGCCATCGATATTACAGTAGTTTAAACTGATTAAATTTTGCTAAAATTGCTACATTAATAATAATATGTTATTGATTATATACAGGCTGGCTGAAATAGTATAGTACCTAGTGCCTAGGGCCGAAAATGAGCTTTTGCCTGCTCGAGATCATTGTTTAAGTTCGAGACGAATTCGAGTTCATTCATGATCGAGAGCTGCAAACCCAAAAGGGGGCCCGTGGTAGGGACACTATTTTCCACCATATAAAAAAGGGGTTTGCTAAAAATGTTCGAATAGGAAAAAGGAAAAAAAAATTAAGACGCTGGTTATAGAAGTAATTTTTAGCTGTTTTTTGTTATTAATGGTCCAATTTTTATTTTTCTTAAGTAAATTGTTTAGATTCCTCAAGATTTGTAAAATTATGTGAAAGTCGACTATACCTTCCGTTTGACATTTTTGAGCCAACCCCAACCCTCACAGGGGCAAAATTAAAAAAAAAACAACCATCATTACTGTAACCCCTCATATCTAAGAAGGTTGCCAAAAACTCAAATATCAAAAATTGTTAAATAGTTGTGCGGGTGCAAGTTACTTTTCAGCCATCGTATGTTGTAGATGTTGAAAGCTCGAGTATTAATTCCAATGCGCTTTTGAGGAGACGAGTATAGTTTATGAACAGTGAGAGTTGACAGGGCTACATGGACAAAGTAAATATCAAGTATTGACCACTACAAACATTATTACACGCAAGCCACAGCGATATTAGTGAGGGTATGTTTGCTTAGCAAATAGTAAACAGTAAAACAGTAATAATGCCGTACTTTACACATACAGTATATCCCTTTAGTTGATGATAATCACAGCATTTGTGTTTACGTGGTCTAGTTAGTCTCGTTTATGAAGCTCGGATTCGAGTCACTTATTATTTTTTTAATTTATATTTTGGAGATGGAATGTTGTAGTTGTATTTTCAAAACTTAATCCAGAAAGCGTGATGATGATGTCGTCCACAGTACTTGATTTCAACTGGCTAGTTGGCTTCATTCATAATATTTCATAATATGTGTTTATATTTGGTGTTCTAATTAAAAATTGAGATTGCATCCCTGTCTAAAGTTATAGATATAATAATATGTACGGGCGTACGGCAACGGGACTACATTAATTTATTTGTTTTAATCGGAAATTATTTCTATGAGGTATATTTTTACTGCTGTAGTTTTAATCTGGCGAGGCTACAAAGCTATGAAATCGTAAATGCTTTTTAGTATATTTTCCATATTTTTTTCTAAATTTTGTTCAACGATTGTAGTACCTAGTTACGAAACTGAAAAAAAAACTATGGATCCACTAGCTTGTACTTGCAGCTTCGCTTTCGATGGTATAGCAATAAATATCACAGAGCAAAACAAATAAACAGATTATTATTACAATTATTACAATAATTATCCGTAGTGGCCTTCGCAAACGATCACAAAAATAAGATATTATCATGACTCATTGCCGAAAAAAAATCTTAAAATTTTACGATTAAAGATGTTACAGTGATTAAATTTAAATTAAAAACCAAATTAAAACAATTTGTTTAGTCTCCAACTAAAAAATCTTGCAACATAAAATCATGAAACTGAAAATGCCGCGACTCTGCAGCTTCTCGAACAAAAGTTTTGCTGCTTCTAATATCCGTGATAAATTACAACTAAAACAATGCAATTTACAAAATAATATCAAATATCAATGGCGACTAATTCTATAAAATATTATTATTATTACTGAGACTAAACAGTGGGATCCTCGTCTACATTTACCTGGCCTGGCAATAGATCTCTATTTCGTCGTTAGGTAGCAGCACAATACAATGATCCCTATCCTAGCCCTATAGCCCTGACG